AAGTCTGTTCAATAGTGTTCTGCCTTCCCAGCTTCGGAGGAGACTTGGGCTTTGACCCACCCTATGTCCTAAGAGATATCCCAGAAGATCCATTTTATCCCAGGGTGGTAGGCTGGCAGCTCAAGGTTGCTACAATCTTAGGTGCAAGGGATGAAGACTGAGGCCTTGGCCTCTGTATCTCTGGCACTTCCTTAGACCACATGTAGTACAGATGGGTTCATGAAGGTTCTCACCTACAAACCAGGTTTCTTCCTTGGAAGGGGGAGTTTTCTGAAATCCACCACCTGGTGATAGTGATAGTGGAAAATACAAGAGCCTGGGAACCAGACTGAGTTCAAATCCTGCCTCCCCACCCCAACTCCCCGTATTTGTGGCTTTCGGAAAATGATACATCCTGTGCCTCAGTTTCCTCATCTAAAAATGGAGCTAGTAACAAGACATACAGTGGTTGTTACAGTTATGGGAAGCTCTGGTTGCATAACCAAGGCACTGAGTTTCTCTCCTTCAATTGACATCCAAGAGCACTTCCATCTGCCACAGCCTATCCCTGTGCTCATCAGTCCCCCAGGGGTACAAATGAATTAATTCCTGGCTTAATGTCTATCATAGTCTCAAGCCATTGGGGAAACTGCCCAGTTGGCCCAAGCAGTGCAAAGAAGGGTGAGTGCAGCTCTCAGGCCATTTGTTGGCACCTGAGGAAGGCAAGCGGGGAAGCGCGATGTTCACTTACTCCAGCTTCGCTCCCCTAGGCGCTGTTCCTACCTTGGAGAGCCTCGGAAGGTGGTGGGTGATGGGGAAACCAAAGACCTTCCCAACATGGCACCGCCCATAGGCCTCTTGCGCGGGCCCGCCGCGCTGACGTGTGTGGGGGCGCGCGCGCGTCCTCCGCGCCCGTCCCCGGCGCATGCGCGCTCCGCGCTGTCTTTTCCCGGCCAGAGCAGCAGCGGCGGCGGCGGCGTTTGAGTGGAGGAAGATGGCTGCTCCGACCGGCTCGGTATCCCGCCAGCTGTGAGGTGCCCCCTAGTGCGGCGGGCGCGGCCTGGGGCGGAGCACTTCTGCTCCAGTCTTATCCCCGGCTCCCTCACCGCCTTCGCCAGCGGAGCGTACCCGAGAGCGTGGCGCGGGCTGGGCCAGGTGAGGCCTCTCCCTCTCCCGGGGCCGCGGCGGGGAGCTGGCGCCTTCTGCCCTTTATGCCCAGGGTCCAGCGCAGGCCCTGCACCCCGCTCGGGGGTCCGTGCCGGCTGGCCTCAGGGCCTTGCCGTAGTCATCCTCGGCCTCCCTGCGTTAGACAGGGAGGAGGAGGAGGAGGTGAGCCCCTTTCCACCCAACCCTTGGGATGGGTGCGAACCCGGCCTCTCTCTAGCAGAGCGATTCTCATTCCCTCACCGGGGCCACGAAAGGGTGTGTGACCAGGGTAAGGGTCTCTGGGGTATCAGATTATCTTCCACCTCGACCTCAAATCATTAACGCCTTGCGAGAGAAGCTGGAGTTGGTGCCCTCCAGAATTAGGGCTGCGGCGAAGGGCAGCATCTCTGAAGCTGCAGCTGCAAAGGGAAGATTTTGTAATTGGCTTAAGACATAAAACACAAGCAGCCTTTCCTACTCCTTAGTTTTTTGAGCATTCCCCCAACGAAGTAGGAACTGCGGATCTCCTTGATTGAGACAGCAATCCATGTTGTGACTGGAATGCTTCTGGTGAGAATTATTTTTGCAGAGGGAACTGTGGAGGGTAGGAACCAATTTATAAACGAAGGAAGAACAATTGCAAGACCTTGATAGCCTCTGCAAAGTAACTTAGGTGCTAATGAAGTCCTCATTCCTTTAAAACCTTTGGATTGGTAGAATTCGGAATATCCAATTGTTTTTGTCTGTTAATCTCCGGAATTTTAGTAGGAAAATAAAGGCTTCATTTCTTAATTGTCAGAGTCTTTGGACTTTTCTGTGGTGGGTTTCTGATTGCTCAGCATGAAGCTTCAGACACGTTACCAGTTCTCACTTGCTAGCAGGAACATTGTACTATACTTGTTACCCTTTTTGAGAACAACTTTTGTTATTGTTTGAATGCTAATTCAGAGACTTTGATTTGTTTCTCTCAGGTAGGGAAGCTGGATGAAGCTTTGTGGTCTCTTCCTTGAGGAATGATGGCTTCATTGGAATTGTACTGTGGGGAATTGTTGAGGCAATGGTTTTGACTTGGAAACACCAAATACCTTTTGTAACTTAAATTCGTTTTGCTTGTGCTTGATAATGATGACATCATGGGTTTAAAGGGACAAGGACAATTTGAGAGGAAATAGCATCATTTAGAATTGAACACTTAAGATTCAGTCTGTAGCTTTTACAGTGAATAGTGATGCTCTGTGTCTAATTCCTAATTTTGAGCATATTCATGTGTATAATCTGACTGAGGTTCCTTTCTATTGTATGTTGTCATTTTACACCTTGTAACTGTTTGCTTCTGACAAGCCCAGTACAAATATATTACTCAATCTACTTTGACCCATAAATGCTTTGTCTACTTCAAAAAGCTTTTGATTGTTAAAATGACAGCTGTTTAGTTTAATACTGTCTAAATCTTTGACCATTTTTTTTTCTTTTCTTAAAGCCTTTTACATTGATTTGTAGATTTTCTTAATGCCTTTGCTAAGGACATAAACCTAAACCAGCAACTTCTCCATTGTAGAAAATTGGAGAGCCACTCTGCACTTCAATTTGCTAATAAAGTCATGAAATTAATGCAGTAAAATATCCTGGTGGTTTGACATTATGTTTCTTGGCATAATGTGTTGCATTGTTGTGCTAAATCATCATCAGGTATTGATGCAACTTCGTGACATCCATGACATCATTCACTTTCCAGCATTTTGCCTTTTGCAATTTCTTAGCTTCTCACAGTCACAAAAAATTGGATCAGGAAAAATAGCTTGGATGCTACTTAAATGTCTGATTTCTAAGAGCACCTTCTCTAACACTGCTTTAAAACCTGTAGTTAAAATCCTTTTGTAAGATTCAGAGCTGTGTGATTCCTACCTATTGTGAGAATACTAGCAAAACCTCTGGGTTTTACAAGAATATTGAGGTCCCAAGGAGAAGTTATCTCAAAGATGAACAAATACATGATTATCTTCTTGATTTCAGGGTTGTTTTAGTCAGTCTCTTTATAAAACCAGAAACCATTGGTTAAATAATGCCCTTCCCCCTTCACAAGGTTGTTAAATGAAGCAAAAACGGGTAATGTTTGTGAAAGTGCTTTTGTAAAATAAAAGATAAATATAGGATTGATTATTCAGTAATCAATTTTATGAAAATACACTGAGGGCCCTCTATGCGCTGGACATTTTGGAAAGTAGGTACTAATGATTCTAAGATAAGACAGCTTTTGGTCTCAAGTTGCCTACAGTCTGGTTGGGGAGCCAGACTGGGAAACTAGTTAAATATATTGTAGTGTAAGAAATGCACTGAATCCAAGCAAGGAAGTCAAGGAAAGCTTCTCAGAGCCAGGATGGCTTTCCCCAACCTTTCCTGTTATTCTGCAGAGAAATCTACCTTTTATGAGTGAACCTGCTTTTTATAAACACTTAAAAAAATTCTGTCATAAATTCTTTTCCCCTTTTATTCATTCACCATCATGATACTTCCCACACAGTATGCCCCAGTTATGGTTTCTGCATTCTTAAAAATCCACCAGTCTTGGGAGAACCTTTCTGAGAGTGAGTCATATGCACAGGCAGTAAACACAAACACTGCAGCTGCAATTAAAATATTTCAGATTACTAAGTGGTGACAGCTTTAGAGTGATGATGCTTTTGTTTTTGTTTTGTAAACTGGCACAAGAAACACTGTGATTTTAATTTGATCAGTACTGTCTCGTGCCTCCCAATAATAAGTAAAATGAGAAGGTCCTTTTCCTTTTGGGGTGATGTTGACAGTTTAAGCCAGAACTATATTAAACTATTTTATAGAATCTGTTTATGTGGATTGAGGCTACTTAGCATCTCTGATATTGAACTTCTATTCAATACAAGTTCCTCATCTTACTGCTCTGGTATTTTATAGTTAATTTAACATGTTATCACCTACACTGCAAAAATTTTATGAATTTTTGGATGGAATGGAATCTGTATGTGGTGCAGTATTGAACGCGTAACATCTGTATCTTAACTGAAAATGAGTGCTTTATGGTAGTGGTTGACAGAAGAGTGAAGGTAATGTGTTCATTCTTCTATATTGTGACAGTTTGTTCCATGTAGAAAGATATGGTAGACAGGTCATTTAAAAATAGCTCATAACACTACAGCTTATTTTTAAAATTGTTTCTTGTGACATTCTTCTAAATGTCTACAGTAGTTTTTCCTTACTTATACATGTATGGGGAAGCAAATTTGCTTTGAATTCTTATTCTTCCTGTATTAAATTTCTCCTTTTCAATTTCTGAAGTTTTCTCCTAGATTTTTTATTCGATTTTTTTCCAGTGTTACTGTTCTGTTTTGCTTCAAAGATGGAAGTATTTTGTGATGTTTTGATACTTGTTTATATATGTGTGTGATAAATGTGCATATATTATATACAGCAATAGTTACTTGTCAAATTTTACTACTCTAGACAGTAACTTAGCTTCAACAGTAACTTACTTCTTCTCATCTCCTAGTAATAGATACATTTGAGGTATTTCATTTAATTTTTGTGAAGGCAGACAATTTTTAGTTTTAGCTACTAATTTTCCCTTAGAATATTTAATATTTAGGGTGCATTTATTTCACCTGTTTTAAAGAATTCACTAGTATGGCATACTCTTCCCAATTTGTGTTTCCTTTATTATTCTCATCTTGAGTGTTTGATTCCTGTTGCTATATGGAGAACAAGACTTATTTTTTCCAGAATGAAGTTCTTGGAGAAAGATTGATGTTAATTATGGATTGATCAGTACAGTTTTACTAATTGTTGCCTCTCCCATCTGCTGGTTTTTCAGATGGAAGTCAAGGGAAAATAGAATTTATCCTTCTATTTCAGTGTTTATTTTTAAAGCTTTTTTTCTAGTAATCTTGCTGTCTCTTGCCAAAAAACACCAGTGCCTTGTCTTTTTTTGGTTGATACATCAGTATGATGTTTGCAGTCTGTTTTGCAGGACTGCTTTCTTAGCTTTTGCTTTGAAATACCAAATAACATCTTTCCAAATAGATCCTTTGGTCTAGTCAAAATCAAGCAAGCTGCTTTCTTATTACTGAATCTAAAGTTTTACTTTCCTGTGGACCCTTCAAATTTTGGTTTGTCCGTCTTCCTCATCTCTCCTCCTTTTTTTTTTTTTTCCTTCCAGTAAATGTAGCTCTCTCTTCCAAGTGTGTTTCATAAATCATAATGGAATTTTGGGGTATAATTTCCCATAGAGGTACATAATGATGTGTGGGTTAGAATTTCACATTTTATTTAACTTAAAAGGGACTTAATGGTAGTGAATCTTGATGACATTATGCTAGGTGAAATAAGCCACAAAAGAACAAGATACAAAAGAACAAATATTGTGTGATTACACTTATATGAGGTACCTAGAATAGTCTAATTCATAGAGACAGAAAATAAAATGGTAGTTGCCAGGGACTGAGGAGAGGAGGGAATGGGGAGTTACTGTTTAATGGGTATGGAGTTTTAGTTTGGGATGATGACAGAGTTCTGGAGTTGGATGGTGGTGATGGTTGCACAACAGTGTGAATGTACTTGATGCTACTGAACTGCATATTTTAAAATGCTTATTAAAATGGCAGTTTTTATTTTATGTATATATAATGCACACATACAGGAAGCTTAATGGTTTACAGTGCTCTGTGGACTGGCTTGATAATTATTTGTTTTAATATAGTAATTAAAATTAAGATCATAGGCTTTGGCCCCAGGTAGATCCAGGCTCATACCCTAGTTCTGCTACTTTCCTTGGATATGGACCTTAGGTTCTCTAAGCCTTAGTTTTTTCATCTACAAAATGAGGATAATGCCCACGTTATGGGACAATTAAATGTGGGAACGCATGTGAACTTCTTAGCACATTGCCTAGCACGTAGTAAACACTCAAATCTTAAAACATTATTATTACATTGTGTTATGGAACATTAAAACTGGGACAAGGGGAACTTATCTCCTTG